CCCAGACCCCATTGTCTGGCACTTCAATAAAGCACAATAAAACCTCAAGATGAAACGAGGTCCTGGTGACAGTTTCTGGTCAATGGTTTGTCATGTCGGGCTGTTGTCGAAATCAGACTCTGGCCTGGGAGGGGTCACTGATGGGGATGATTAGGAGGCAATGATTGGTAGAGGCCAGGGAGAAATTCAATTCAATTCAATTCAATTTATTTGTATATAGCGCCTTTCGCAACAAGGTTGCCCCAGGGCGCTGAACAAAGCAAGGGTCCCTACGCGTTGTGAATACAGAACAGAAAAGACCAGAAGACAACGGAGGGGAGGAGCCAAAAACTCCTCAGTAAGGAGAAGAAAAACCTCTGGGGGGTCCAAGGTCAACTGGCTGCCCAACCCCTTTGGGCATGCTAACATTATTCAATTAAAAAAAGGAATAAATGAATGAGGGTATTAATCCATCCATCATGTCCTCTGTATGTCAGGACTCCACGCAGATCTCTGTAGACCAGCAGAATCCTCCTAAACGACAGCTATATCCACGATGCCCCTGGCAGTGATGCAGCATCCAACTCAGATGGTACCTAACCTGGGCGCTGGGTGGCCAAAGATGGAACCATTTTGGTAATGGTCACTCAAACACCCATTCATGGTCATAAGATAGGGTGACCAGACCTGGACTCTACTATAAAACCCTCTGTAACACTGCTGGGATTCAGGGCTCTGTGGGAAACACACCCTGGGCGCCTCTCCTTCAGTGTTCTCTGTAGAGGGCGGTTTTCATCACACTTAAGCATTATTCCAAACCTCCACTTGACTTACAGTCCAGGAAGCTCCAGTTGGCAGACAAGCTGTGTGCCGATTGGCTCCAGGGAAGTCCTCTGCTCTCATCCTAAGAGGACAGACACAGGGAAGCCGGGACCATCGTGTTAGGTGTGATTTTCACTAAACATCCTCCCCCCCGAAACACTGACAATGTACTTTTTCCAAGAAAAACAGACAAGTGTTTTGGAAAATAAATCCCAGTCAGGGGTCAGGTTGAAGACTGTGCTCCAGGCTGGGTTAGGGTCAGGGTCACAGAAACAGTGTTTAGGTATGAAAGACAAAATAAAAGCATTACTACAGTAATCCTCTCCATCATGACCCCTCTGCTAACTAAACACTGGGAGACAAAGCTCTTTACCTTTCTTTGGAAAGCAGAAAAAAAATCAATCAAGCAAACACCTACAAATACTCCGACAATTAAAAATCATTGAGCATTACCTGATAGTGTACTCTGTGCGTGCTTGAAGGGGCTAAGTACAGATCCTGGTGGGAGAAAATTTCAGAGAGGGCGTTTCAAGACACAACACCTTGACGGATCGTTTCAGGATCTTTGATAAGTCCAATAAAATAGCACGTCAACCCATCGTCCAACACATCAACCCGCTGTCCAACACATTTTTCCTTCATCCACGAAATCAACCCCTTCAATCTAGCCACAACGGCCAATCCAGTGTCCAACATGTCAACCCTTCATCCAACACATCCATCCACTGTCCAACACAGTGGACAGTGGATTGATGTCCACTGTGAAGATTTCATCCAACACATCAACCTTTCATCCAACCCAACATCCAACACGTCAACCCACTGTCCAAGAGATCAAACCTTCATCCACGAAGTCAACCCACTGTCCAACACGTCAAACTTTCATCCACAAAGTCAACCCACTGTCCAACAC